CCGCCCGCCCTCACCCGCCCGCACACACCCGCCCGCCCTCTCTTGCAGAAGAACGAGTACGTGTTCTCGGTGCTGGCGGAGGGGCCGGACGCGCTGCTGCTGGGCCTGCGGTTCTCCGCCCGCCCTCACCCGCCCGCACACACCCGCCCGCCCTCTCTTGCAGAAGAACGAGTACGTGTTCTCGGTGCTGGCGGAGGGGCCGGACGCGCTGCTGCTGGGCCTGCGGTACTCGCCCACACGGCTGCACTTCCTGTTCCTCAGCGAGGATGCGGCAGGCGCCTGGCAGACCCGCGTGTCCTTCTGGAGCCCGGCCCTGATGGACAGCCAGTGGCACACGCTGGTCTTGGCTGTGTCTGAAAGCTCCTTTTCCCTCACCACGGACTGCGGCGTCCCCGTGGACATGTAGGTACCAGGATGCTGGGGGGTGTCGCCTGGTGCCGAGTGCTGCCAGGTCCCGTGTGGCCGTCCAGGGGTGGCCGGCGTAGTGCAGTGTGGGCCGTGGAGGGTCAAGGTTAGAAATAACCGCTGTGACTGAGTGCCCGGGTCATCGGTGTGCGGATGGTGAATTCGCCTCCAGCAAGGCCGCCGGGGGTGGGGCGGGCGCCGACGCCTGGCCCAGGGCCTGGGCTGTAGCGGGCGGGGAAAGGCCGTTTTTTTTGTTCCCGGGGCGGAAGGCCACACAGGGCCATGGGGAAGAACTCGAGCCCAAGGGAAGCGGCACGGCCCGAGGCCCGGGTCTGCTTGGCAGGCGGCACTCAGACCGGTCCCTCGCGGCCTGGGCAGCACCCGGCACTCGGAAGCCCGAGTCGGTTTCTCGTCCTTGTCACCTCCCGGTCCCCATCTATGACCTGGAAGTTAGCGATCCGACCAGGGAGGGGTGTGTCCCCGCGTTCCCGCCAACTGATGATTCAAAGGGCCTTCGGCCGTCATCCTGCCCAGTGGGGCTGGAGACTTTCTAAGCACAAATGGTCCAGTTTCCATTAAATTTATCATCATATCAAATATGTGGAACCTTACTCTGCTTGGTTATTATGAAACTTACTCCATAATAAAAAGAATCTGTAGCATTCATACATTTTTTTAAAAACACGTCTTTACCAACCCCTCCCCCGCCACAGGGAGTGTGGCCAGCTGCAGCCAGACTGCAGCCTGGAAGGTGTAGGTGCTTTGACAAGAGCACATGGCCTCATGGTCCAGCGGACGCTGGGCAGCCATGCTGTCCCCTCCAGCAGGGCACCCACCTTCTCACCTGTCCTCAGAGTCTGGCCCCCACTGACGCATCTTCCAACACCCCTGAATCACCAAGGAGAGGAACCATCTGTCTTAACACTATCTGCCCCCGCGGGCCCAGTGGAGGGTGGTCGGCCTGGGGACCCTGTGCAGGCAGAAGCCCCTGGAGGTTCTGTGAGATGGCAGAGGGCCGCTGACCACCTGGCCGGGATGCGCCCTTGCAGGAGACCCTTGTCCTGGGCTAAGGGCGTCCCCCAGGACCCGAGAATGGGCCTCGTGTGGACACCGAACTCTGCCGGTGCGACCCAGTCAGGCTGCGGTCACAGTGGGCACGGCGTCTTTTTGAGTGACTGGTGTCTTTGTGAGAAGGAAGAGGCTCAGAGGAGGAGCCATGTGACAGTGGGGCCAGAGAGTAGAGCCATTTGGCCA